ATTGTGGACGTGGCAAATTTCTGTTATACGGTGGTTTTTAATTCTGAAATTGCGTTTTCCTTTTGCAGCGCATGGCCTATGGGCTGTTAAATAGAATGAAATTGAAACTGATTTAACCTTTACAACTATCTTGCAAGACAGGTTCGCCTGAAGCGTTGACTGGCTAAAACGCATCCCAAGAGCTTCCAGTCCTACTGTGGATTTGAACTCAGATCCCACCAAGCCATAACCCAATACCCTGGCTTTTGAACTTAACTGACCCACATCATGAATGAGGGCAAAAGGTGCGAATCTCAAGCATCTGGAAGAGGGTATCTTATTCATAATTTTCTATACAGTTGCCACACTTACTTTTGATACATTGAATGAAGTCCAACTCATCCAAAACCCCACACCACAAGCACAGAAAACATAAAGTCTGGTTTACCTGATACGAATAATAAAAATATCTTTAATGAGCGGTGACTCTTCCTTAGCTCAGTTTTGTTTTCTCTGATTCAGAAAGAAACACTTACAATTTTGGTCTGCCAACTGCATGGAGAAAATTTTATGCTGTCCCTTTAACAAAGGCATCATGGGATGTTACTTATCTCTTCAGATACCCATTTCCACACACTCAGTGTCTGGGCATGAGGCCAGATATTTCCCCCCCCCTTCAGGCCTGTCACCAACCCTGATGCTATGCCTCTCCAAGCTTACTGGAAAAGGACTGGGCGTAGGAGAATAAGATTTGAGGTACCTTAAGACCAATGCTCCCTCTAAGCTACGGAGCCATGGGAACAAAAATTCTACTTTGTGAGCTACTTGCATTAAAGTTGTGAGCGAGCAATTTAGCTGCTGCATAAATTGGTTTTCTCTGGAGCCATCCTCCCTGAGCTAAGACAGAAATGTGTGAGCCGGAGGCTAAAAAACTGTGAGCTAGCTCACACCAACTCAGCTTACAGGGAACATCACTTAAGGCCCTGGCAAAATACCCTACAGGTAGACAAGGGGTGGCTTGTAGGAGGAAATGGAAGCATCCCTGAAAGCTATACAGTATTGATCTGCTTTAGCTTAACGTATCATGAATCAAGTCAGCCTGAAAGGGACTTTTGCCAATGAAGAGAAACATTCTCTTGGAAAGTCCCTGAAACATTTTTCCGACAAATACCCCAATGCTCCCAAGTAAACATGAGAAAATACGGCTGTTTGGTTTTCACAGAAGGTCCTGGGGTGGGGCGGGGAGAAGGTCTTGGAACAGAATGAAAGGCACACAGAGGCTGCGGTCAGGCAACAAGCTTGGCACAGTCTGGGCATGCCTCTAAGTGCACTGGTTTAAGTGGGAGTGGGAAGGACCAGTCAGACCGCACGCCCTGAGGCCGCGTCCCCACAGGCTCGCACTCTGGTCATTCGTCCACATTAGTGCTGTGCCTCAATCATGAAGCGTGCTGTCCAGGTGGTTTTCTTTAAAAATATGGGTGCCAAAAACTGGTAAAAAAAAAGAAGCAGAAATCTTTCTGACTGTTCGCACTTCCCGACCAGCTTCAGTTCACAACAAAGAAGTTCAGACATCCGGAAATGCGGGGTTAGAGCGCTGACAGCTGTAAAGATCAGACTTTCCACCGTGCCTAATAACTCCGATTCGAAGGTGGGTCAGAATGGGGTGGTGACGACTGGGGACTGGGAAGAACATGATACTGTGCGATGGTGCTCTTTAAACCCCGCAAGGGAACCGCAACAACATTGGCGCAAACTACTCGTCGGACCGCAGACACAGAAATCTCCAGTCTCTTTGCTTACTGATACGATTCAATAGTTTATTCACACATAGATGCAAACTGAGTTTATGTTTTGTCACATAAGCACAGGCAGATCAATGTTATATGACAAACACACTAGGCAGTATTCATAGATATACGATAAACACATTATGCAGAATTTATACTAGAAACATTCATGTTAAGAACATTAGTAGTTTTATACTACAAACATTTCATCAGAAAGAGGTACCAGGAATAGAGAGAGACTGGAATGATTGTTACAAAGGGATAACTGTATGTGGCCATTAACTGGGAATGGGTTAGAGGCTAACATAACTCTCAGAAGCTAATATAACTGTTACAAAGGTCTCGTCTCTAAATGGACTGTTACAGGGATCTGGTCGCAGGGTGAATGTTCTCAGGAGCTAGTGTCAAGAGAACGGCCAAATTACGGAACCCCCAATTTGATCCAGAGAGCCGAGATGACCTTGGGAAAAGAGGGCTGATGTGTGCTTCCACCATGAATCACTAGAGAGCAACTTGAGATAGAGAGCAATTGCTAGCCAATATAAAAAAGAAGGCTTCTAGCCGGATATATATATATATATTAAAAAAGGACTGGTTGTGACTTTCAGAAATAAACTAACTGGCTTGCTCCTAATTTAAATACTTCAAATGGAACTAGAAGATAATTTGAAGAAAGTAGAAAAGCTGTAAAAATTTGAAGGAAGTAGTAAAGAAGTTACGCTGCATCAAGAGGCTGACACCTTTTAATACAAAAGACTGCTCCCGAGGAAGACTGGTGAAATGAGTGTATAACTGGGTGCTCATTGAGGATAATGGACTCTTCCTTGAAAATGTTAGAATTTCCTTAGTAAAAGTTTCAATTGTAATCTAAGTTGATGTTCATAAGATTTTTTAAATGTTATTGTCATTTTCATCACACTGTGTGTTTGTTTGTTATATAGTCTTTAAGCAGTGGCTGGACAAACACTTGTCAAGGATGCTGCTGTAGGCCAGTGATGGCGAACCTTTTAGAGACCGAGTGTCCAAACTGCGACCCAAAACCCACTTATTTATCACAAAGTGCCAACACAGCAATTTAACCTGAATACTGAGGTTTTACTTTAGAAAAAACAACTCATACATTAACTTAAGATGATCCAAACAAAGTAAGGAAAGCCATCCCAAATGCTTTCATTGACTTAAAATTATTTGGCAGAGAATTTGACACTTTAATGATGGTCTGGGCCTGGCTGGGGCGATGGCACGCGTGCCCACAGAGAGGGCTCTGAGTGCCACCTCTGACACCCGTGCCATAGGTTCGCCACCACTGCTGTAGGCTGATCCTGCATTGAGCAGGGGGTTGGACTAGATGGCCTGTATGGCCCCTTCCAAATATGTGATTCTACGATTCTATAACATTTCTTCCGGTTACAGTAAGGCTTCAGATTCAGTCTTTTTACAACAGTATACGGCTTTTCAGTGGTTTGTATGGTCTGTCGTTGTCTTTTAGGCATGCAACAGGAGAAAAGATATTTTCAGGGGCTAAGCAGTTCATTGCTTTCCGCCCTGTGTGGGTTCCTCGATGAAGCTGAGGATGGCCACTCTAACTGGATCTCTTTCCACACACTGAGTGTCACGCCCAACCTGCACGCTTGAGATTGCCGCACTTTCTGCCATGGCACCTGGGGTCCCTGAGGAGTCTCCTTGGCCTCAGACTGGGGAGGAGAGGGGTCTTCTCTCACCCTTGTCCTCTTCCCCAGCTTCAACCAATGCGCTGCTGTCTTGGCTCTCTGTGGCTAGCTGCCATCCCTGGCCTGCTGATGGAGCTCCCCTTCTCTCTCCCCCCATCCTCTCCTTTCTGCATCGCCCATCCTCTGCCCTTCTGTTGGCTCCTGCCCCTGTCTATCATGGCCATGCCCGGGCCCAAGGCAGACCATTCCCCCACAGGACCTCGGATCCCTCAGAATGGTGCCTGCTCGCTGTGACGGATTCCAGGCTTGATCAGCCGGCAAGAGAAGACACCCGCAGTCACGTGACTAGCAGGGATGATGTGATCCTGATGCAGAACTCAGGGGAGGGTTCTAATGAAAAAACAAACAAACTCTTGACAGTTGGTTTGGAAGTTGAGACTGACCGTAGGTTTTAGTCCGGTGATTCTGTGCCAGGGAACTGAGAAGTCTGGTTGAACATCGCTGAGTCAGAGGAGCAAATGAGCCTTCTCTACACATCCCAATATTAAGGGAACCTCCTTGTGGTGAAACAAAGGATACACGTTCATCTCACTAAGAGTTTATACCCTGCTGGAGAGGGAGTCCGGTTTAGTGGATTTTAGTGTATGACAGAAGTGTTTACTGAACTAGTGGTTGTCCAAAATCTAAACCAAGGAACAGTGAGGAGGTTTCTCTGTGAAGGGGGAGAACACTTGAGGAATCCACCCAAAAACTGGCCATCTAAAACAGCACAGGGGTTGAGTTGAGAGTGAAAGCGTGTTTTGTACTGTGACATCTGAACTGACTGTTTATAAGGAACTAACCAAAAGCTGAAATATACCATCTGCATCTACGTATCCACAATCATCAAATTTTTCCCGTGTACAAATTTTCCCTGCCTGTCTGTCTTTGCAAACAAAATCTTTAGTTAGTTTTACTGTTCCAAATTGTATGTGCCTCAGTGTCAGTTGAAAATAAGACTGCTCCAGCCTGGAAAAGGTTAAAGAAAGCAAATCCCACATACTCAGGAATAAGGGAGTTCCTCAAACTTGCCCGGACCCGGAGCTACCGGTGCATGGCGCACGGCTGAATCCTGAGCTCCCGTCCCTTTCTCCCTAATTCCTACTTATAATAGTTCTTCAACGTCTCCATGCCGAAGAAAAATACCAATAAAGCTGCCGGAACACCATCTGCAACTCAGAGAGGTGGAACAAAATCGGTACGTACGTTTTTTACAACGATAGCTCCAGAAGAGCTTTTTCTCACCTGAAGTTTCTGCCCAGCTCTTCCGGGGCCCGTGCCATAGCCTGCTCCCCGTGACCTCATTCAGCCACCTGGGATGACGGCTACCGCTGCAGTAAGGGAGGTGGATGGGCTGCTGACATCTCATCAAGTTTAGCCTTTTATGTTAAGGTTTCTCACCTGCGTGGATTCTTTGGTGCTGCTGAAGAGTACCTCTATCTCTGAATCGCTTTCCACATGCTGAGCATTCAAAAGGTTTCTCCCCTATGTGGATTCTTTCGTGCTTCTGAAGATGGCCACTCTCTCTGAATCTGACTATGCAAAATAGAATTACTTCGCTTGAGAACAAGTGGCGGCAGTATAATTTGAAATTTAGGGGGTTCGAGGAGGGGTCTGAAGAGTCTCAAAATATAGCCCATTTTATGGCTACTTGGCTAGCTAAAGTAATGCAACTCGATGATGGCGTCGCACCAGCAATAGCCAAGGCTCAACGCTTAGGACCGTTAGCGATGGCGCGCAAAGACAAACCAAGAGACATTTTAGTTCAGTTTATTTACCTACGATCCAGAGATAAAATCCTCAAACTAGCAAAGCAAAAAGGATCTCTGGCTTATGGTGAACAAAAGATCATTGTATTGCTTGACCTAGCCCCGGAAATCCTGCTCAAACGGAGATCCCTTAAGAATATCACAGCCAGACTCCACGAAGCGAAGATTCGGTTCCGCTGGTCCCCAACTTCGGACATTTTGATCTACAAAAACGGCTTACTGCACCAAGCAACCGATTGTGCATCAGGAATACAATTACTTTCTGCAGTAGGGATCAAGTTATCTCCAGCGGAAGAAGAAGAACTGTTAAAAACCTGACTTTTTCCTTCATGCTTCTCTCAAGGAAGATGGAAGCCTTTATGCAACTGACTCTAGAGCTTACACTACCTTCTTTGTTATTGTTCCTGACGACTGTGGCTATACGGGAACATTGTAAGACTGTTCTTTAAAAGTTGAAAAGTTTAAAAATGTTTGTTTAAAAAGCTTAAAAATAGCTATAAGGATAATGATTCAGCAATGAGGTAATTGCAACAAAAATAATTTAATTGTTTTTGAGTTAAATTGGAAGGCAGATGCAATGCAATATTTGCATTTTTTATGTTATTTTATTTGTATTTGAATGTCAACAGGTAGAGAGAGGCTTTATAAGAATTGAAATATTTATTTTAGCAGACTGGTGAATGCTGTTTTATCTACAGGTTTAATATGTTCCTTTTTTGGTGAATAAGGAGATTCGGAATTCATAGTTCCAGGTCCTATTTGTTAAACTGTTGGGCTAGTTAACTATACTGGCAATGAAGTAATTGCTTTCCTTATCGAAATAATAAATATCTTTATGTTAAATCTATTTTATAGCCAAGGCAACTTTATGGACTTTTATGACTGGATAGAAACCTTTGATATTCAAAAGGTGGTTAGATGGTAAAAAATATACGTTGGTTTTTCTTTTTTTTTATAAATATTATTGAAGAGCATTGTGTTTTCAAAACTACAGGAAACTACAGGTTTATAATCATTGCAAGATATACAATTAAGGCTGTAAAGGAAAATGGATCTATTAGGAAAAGGAGACAATTCTTAGAATATATTTTTCTGTTTAATTATTACACAGTTATTACAGGGAGAGGGAGGGAGCCAGTTAAAGTGAAACAGGTTGAACTCTTTTCTTTGCCCCCCTGGTATAGTTAAGTGTCCTTACAGGAGTGTCTGTTGTAACACTCCTTCTAGCTACCTAATTTAGGTTAGCTAGCCAAGGCACTACCCTCTTTTGTGAGAGGGTATCTTTTTTCCTTTTTTCCCTTTTTTGTTGTGGGTGTGGGTTGTGGTTGTTAGTTAGTTTAAATTTTGATGCAACAATTCTCCATTGCAACATGGAACGCCCGAGGTTTGAATAACAGAATTAAGGTTAAGAGAGCGTCTAACTACTGGTTTAAACAAAAAACTCAAATATTATGCATTCAAGAAACTCATTTGAAGAACGCACTTTTCCCGGTATTGAGGTCAAAGTGGTTTTCACAGCAATTCCAAGCAAAAGGTTCCTCGAAAGCAAGAGGGACTGCCATTCTAATCTCACATAACCTACCTTTTCAGCACAAAAAGAGTGATATAGACCCCAATGGTAGATATATTTTTATTCAAGGAGATCGAAAAATATTTTTCGGCTGAAGGATATTATGCTTAAAGGAAAGTTCCTTACGCAAGACCAATTTGTTCAAGTAATAAAAACCAAACTGCCTTGGTTGCAATACTGCCAATTGCAACATATGTATACGAGAATAGCCACCTCTTCTGACTTAAATAGGCCACCGCTACAATTTGAGAAACTACTGGCTAAATTAAGTAGAAATACTAAAGGGGCCATAACAATCATTTATAATGCCTTAAATGAAAAATCGTGGACAATAAAAAACTCAGTTCAAACAAAATGGGAACAGGATTTGCGAACCACGATAGACGATAAAACCTGGACTAGGATTTGGAATTCTTTTCAAATGACAACAAATAATTTGGCTATGCGAATCCAATCATATAAATTGTATTCAAGATGGTACCTAACTCCTGAAAGATTATACCATTGTAAATACAAGTCCTCTCCAGATTGCTGGAAAGGGTGTGGTATGAAAGGAACGCTCATTCATTGTTGGTGGGAATGCCCCGTTGTAAATAACTATTGGGTGCGGATTAGGAAAATTATACAGGAAATTACTGGATGTGTTTTACCTTTTACCCCGGAAACCTTTCTTTTGGGTACTTATAAGAACTCTACGATTTCACAGGAGAAACAAGAGCTAACAGCTATTTTAATATCGGCAGCAAAAACTTTATTAGCTCAGCGATGGAATAAACCTGATATTCCAAATATAAAACAATGGATTGCAAAATGTTGGGACTACGTAGTATCTGACAAAATTACGGAGCAAATCCTTGCACTGAACTCTCCATCCCGGCCTGATAGGTTTTTAACACGATGGTTTGCTTTTTTCCAATATACCAATAGAAACTCAGACTCTATCTTTGTTCTTCCCACGAAATATTTAGAATTCTCGTTTTATTGAAGGGCGAACTGAATTTGTTGTAGACATTTCAATATATATATTGTTGCATCTGGTTTTGGTAACGTTTTAATTGTTGATATTGTTATATAATGTTCTCTGTTAATGTTATTACTGCTCCAGCCTGGAAAAGGTTAAAGAAAGCAAATCCCACATACTCAGGAATAAGGGAGCTCCTCAAAGTTGCCCGGACCCAGCTGCTCATGGAGCTAAGCAGAGCGGCATTGTCTGACTCCACAATTCCACATTCTCCTGTAGACCCTGCAGGAACTAGCTGGACAACGTAGACTGAAGAGTGCCTTTCTGAGGCGAGGGGGCTTGCCCTACTGCAAGGCCTCTGGCTGCTTCCTGCTGCTCTCCCCCTGCATCCTGCCACCCGGCTGGGCCACCATCCACTGAAGTTTCTTCCCAGCTCTTCCGGGGCCCGTGCCATAGCCTGCTCCCCGTGACCTCATTCAGCCACCTGGGATGACGGCTACCGCTGCAGTAAGGGAGGTGGATGGGCTGCTGACATCTCATCAAGTTTAGTCTTTTATGTTAAGGTTTCTCACCTGAGTGGATTCTTTGGTGCTGCTGAAGAGTACCTCTATCTCTGAATCTCTTTCCACATGCTGAGCATTCAAAAGGTTTCTCCCCTATGTGGATTCTTTCGTGCTTCTGAAGATGGCCACTCTCTCTGAATCTCTTTCCACACTCTGAACATTCAAAAGGTTTCTCCCCTTTGTGGATTCTTTGGTGTTTCTGAAGAGTACCACTATCTCTGAATCTCTTTCCACACTCTGAGCATTCAAAGGGCTTCTCCCCTGTGTGGGTTCTTTGGTGCTTCAGAAGATTGCCGCTCTCACTGAATCTCTTTCTACACTCAGAGCATTCAAAAGGTTTCTCCCCTGTGTGGATTCTTTGGTGCTTCAGAAGATGGCCACTCTCACTGAATCTCTTTCCACACTCAGAGCATTCAAAAGGTTTTTCCCCTGTGTGGGTTCTCTGGTGCACTTGAAGATTGCTATTTCTACTGAATCTCTTTCCACACTCAGAGCATTCAAATGGTTTGTCCCCTGTGTGGATTCTTTGGTGGTTCTGAAGAGTGCCACTCTGAGTGAATCTCTTTCCACACTCTGAGCATTCAAATGGTTTGTCCCCTGCGTGGATTCTTTGGTGGTTCTGAAGACTGCTGCTCTGACTGAATCTCTTTCCACACTCTGAGCATTCAAAAGGTTCCTCCCCAGTGTGGGTTCTTTGGTGCTTCTGAAGATTGCCACTCTCACTGAATCTCTTTCCACACTCATAGCATTCAAAAGGTTCCTCCCCAGTGTGGGTTCTTTGGTGCTTCTGAAGATTGCCACTCTCACTGAATCTCTTTCCACACTCATAGCATTCAAAAGGTTCCTCCCCAGTGTGGGTTCTTTGGTGCTTCTGAAGATTGCCACTGTCACTGAATCTCCTTCCACACTCAGAGCATTCAAAAGGTTTCTCCCCTGTGTGGGTTTTTTGGTGCTTTTGAAGATAGCCACTCTCACTGAATCTCTTTCCACACTCAGAGCATTCAAAAGGTTTCTCCCCTGTGTGGGTTTTTTGGTGCTTCTGAAGATTGCCACTCTCACTGAATCTCTTTCCACACTCAGAGCATTCAAAAGGTTTCTCCCCTGTGTGGGTTCTTTGATGGTTCTGAAGAGTAGCACTCCGACTGAATCGTTTTCCACATTCTGAGCATTCAAAAATTTTCTCCCCTGTGTGCGTTCCTCGGTGCTGCTGAAGATTGCTGCTCACACTGAATCGCTTTCCACACTCAGAGCATTCGAAAGGTTTCTCCCCTGTGTGGGTTCTTTGATGGTTCTGAAGAGTAGCACTCCGACTGAATCGCTTTCCACATTCTGAGCATTCAAAAATTTTCTCCCCTGTGTGCGATCCTTGGTGCTGCTGAAGATTGCTGCTCACACTGAATCGCTTTCCACACTCAGAGCATTCAAAAGGTTTCTCCCCTGTGTGGGTTTTTTGGTGCTTCTGAAGATTGCCACTCTCACTGAATCTCTTTCCACACTCAGAGCATTCAAAAGGTTTCTCCCCTGTGTGGGTTTTTTGATGGTTCTGAAGAGTACCACTCCGACTGAATCGCTTTCCACATTCTGAGCATTCAAAAATTTTCTCCCCTGTGTGCGTTCCTTGGTGCTGCTGAAGATTGCTGCTCACACTGAATCTCTTTCCACACTCAGAGCATTCAAAAGGTTTCTTGCCTCTGTGTATTCTTTGGTCCACTAGGAACTGTGATCTATTTCTGAAATACTTTCCAGAATTGTTGGATTTACTTGCCTTCATTATCCCGTGCTGTACATTACACTGTCTTCCATCTCTCTTCTCCAGCATCTGGCATACTTTTTTTCTTTTAGATCTGCCTTGATTTCTGATGGGGTTTTTTAGGTGTTCCCTTTTAACTCTATCTGGTATTTGTGGATTAAGTTCCTCACCCTCCTCATTCCTCTGATTATGCTCTGCTGGAATAAAGAGAGAGATCTTGTTAGCATCTGGCAGGACCAGTAATATCCAAAGGCATCTATCTGACTGCAGTATTTATTTATTTATTCATTATTTTAGATTTATATCCCGGCTTGCCTGTCATGCAGGCTCAAGTCAGCGTACATCGGCTAAAATGCAATAAATACATAAAAATACAATATACATACATAACAATAAAATCCTAACCATAGTATGCATAAAGTGCAATCAGTGCAGATGGCGTTTCCTAAAGTGGGCTGATATAGGTGGGCCGGTGTCCTGTCCTGTTGACTATAGCACAGCTTAAGGGCCTTGCTGGTTTAATTTGCTCGTTCCTCAGTGGCAGCCCCTAATCAAAGGCCTGGTGGAGGAGCTTCATTTTACAAGCCCTGTGGAACTGTAATAGGTCCCACAGGGCCCTAGTGTCTTCCAGGAGCTCATTTCACCAGTACGGGGCTGCCACTGAGAAGGCCCTGGCCCTGGCGACAGCCAATTTAGCATCGTTTGGACCAGGGACAGTCAGGCGATTTTGGGTCCCTGATCTCAGTGCTCTCTGGAGGACATGTGGGGAAAGGCGGTCCATCAGGTAGGCAGGCCCCAGACCATTTAGGGCTCTAAAGGTCAAAAACAGCACCTTGAAGTGAATCTGGAACACTATTGGAAGCCAGTGCAATGACTTCAGCACAGGCTGGATGTGCTCCCACCTGGGGAGGCCCATCAACAGCCTGGCTGTCACATTTTGCACCAGCTGCAGCTTCCAGAGTTGCCACAAGGGCAGCCCCATGGAGAGAGCATTGCAGTAGTCTAGACTCGAGGTGACCATAGCATGGATCACTGAAGCCAGATCATTGCGTTTGAGGAAGGGGACCAAGTGCCTAATCAGCCGAAGATGGTAGAAGGCTGCCTTGGCAGTGGCTGCTACCTGGGCCAACTAACGGCGCCCCATCGAAGGTCAGTAATGGGATCCCTAACCCCGACCCGCTCCGACTCAGGCACAGGACCTCTGTCTACGGCAGCAAGAATATCATATGCAAAATATTGGAAACAAATGGAAGCACCAAAGAAGCAAGAATATGTGAAAACTGTTGGAGACAGCTGAAAATGACAAACTGTCATCGTTGATGAGAGGGACAACAGACCCAACATTTCAAAAGACGTGGAAAAAACTGTATGACTGGTATAATATAAATGCATAGTTTAAAGTAATGACATTTTTGGTATTATTAATCTCTT